ATGTAATGACCTATATAGGAAAAGAATCTGAAAAATAGTGGACATATGTATATGTATAACTGATTCACTTTGCTGTACATCTGAAACTAACACAACATTGTAAATCAACAACACTCCAATACATTTAAAAAAAAATTCAGGTCTCCCCACCTACTTCTGCCACAAACAGAACAAACTAAGACAAAATCCACTAAATTAAGTTAATTTTGCTGCATTGGCATAAGTGGGCACCATTGAGCTGCCTGTCTGAACAAAAAGCACAAAAGTAAATTCAGAGAGAGTAATTGGAAGCACCTTGAGAAAAAGGAAGGAAAAGAAAAAGATTTCTGACAGTTAAGGCTTATATTGATATCCAGAAAGTTCTCAAATAGTATCTAATCAGATCGAGTAACAACCTAATTTGTTCTTGTAGACATTATGTATGTGTGAGTGTGTGTGTGTGTTTAATTCAACTTTCTAAAATTTGGTTTTATGATGTCTATGGGGCTTCCCTGGTGACTCGGATGGTAAAGAATCGCCTGCAATGCAAGAGACCTAGGTTTGATCCCTGGGTTGGGAAGATCCCCTGGAGAAGGGCATGGCGACCCACTCCAGTATTCTTGCCTGGAGAATCCCCATGGAGAGAGGAGCCTGGCGGGGCACAAGTCCACGGGGTCACAGAGAATCAGACATGACTGAGCGACTAAGCACAGCACAGAAAGAAAATACAGACAAAATCAACAAAGGAAAAAGTTCCTCTGAAATGGAATCAGGAAGTAGAAGAAAACTGTAAGCCAACACTCCAAAGAGAATTAAATATAATCCAACAAACATTTCAGGATATGAAAAATCACTATACATCAAAAATTAAAAACTAGGGATTTCCCTGATGGTCCAGTGTTTAAGACTTCACCTTCTGATGCATCACCTTCTGATGCAGGTTCCGTGTTTAAGACTTCACCTGACCAGGGATGAAACCCTGTGAGGTAACTGAGATCCCACATGCTGCAGAATGCAGTCAGTTCTTTTTTTTTTTTTAATTCAAAAGCTAAAGAGCCAAGTACTGATGTGATGAAGAGATATTTGAATAAACTAGGGAAAGAAATGGCAGAGAAAGACAAAATTATTTCAGAAATGCAGATTAAATAAAGTACCCAAGAGAGAATAAACTCAAATGAAAGTGTAATAAAAAGACATTGGAGAAAGACAGAAAAACAACAAAGAAAGTGACAATGACATAAAGAGAAAGAAATGGAAAAGCTTCAGAGTGGGGGAGAAATGAATGGCAATGGAATATTGGACATTGAAGGAGGAATACACCCTTTTTTGGGATCCTTGAAGAAACAAAACAAAACAGAGCAAATATTTAAAGTCATAGGGAACCCCTTGGCAGTCCAATGATTGGGACTCCACGCTTCTCCTAAAGGGACCATAGATTCAAGCCCTGGTGGAGGATCTAGGACCACACATGCCACACAGGCAAAAACAAAAATCAATCAATTTTAAAAAGGCAAACATGGGACTTCCCTGGTATTCCAGTGGTTAAGAATTAATCTTGTAATGCAGGGGATGTGGATTTGATCTCTGGTCAGGGAATTAAGATTCCACTGCTTTGGAGCATCTAAACCTGGGCGCTATAACTATTGAGCCCTCGAGTCATAGCTGAAGAGTCCATGCGCTGCAATGAAAGATCCTACATGATACAACAAAGACCCAACACAGTCAAATAAATAAAGTAAAATCATAATAAAAAATTTTTCCCGAAATAGAAAATCACTTGAAATTACACATTGAGAGGGCTGACTAGGTACCTGGGAAAGCAGCCCAGAAGGTCAACTCTGAGACATATTCCTATGTCTATTTGAAGACATATGTCTACTTGACTTTGAAGATTAAGATAAAATTCTTAAGTCTTCCAAATCAAGAAATTTATGAAGTCATAAGAATTATACTGATATTAAACTTTTCAAAGCTAATATTCAAAGCAATACAACAGTGGAGGAACATTAAAAATTACTCAGTGTGTGAAAGTATGAACCAAGGATTTGATAACCAGTCCAGTTGTCTTTCAAACATGTACAAGAAATTAGGGAATTTAATTTATGTGCATATATATATACACGTGTGCTTAGTCACTCAGTGGTGTCCGACTCTTTGGGACCCCATGGACTGTAGCCCGCCAGACTCCTCTGTCCATGTGATTCTCCAGGCAAAAATAGTGGCATGAGTAGCCATACTCTTCTCTAGGGGATTTTCCCAATCTCGGGTCAAACCCGAGTCTCCTGCAGCTCCTGATCGCAAGTGGATTCACCTGGGAAGCCCCAATCTTAGGTGGCTCAGTGCTAAAGAATCTGTGGGCCAATGCAAGAGATGCAGGAAATGCAGTTTCGATTCCTATATCAGGAAGATCCCCTGGAGGAGGAAATGGCAACCCACTCCAGTATCCCTCCCTAGAAAAATCCCATGGATAGAGGAGCCTGGCGGGCCAAAGTCCATTGGGTTGCAAAGAGCCAGACATAACTGAGTATGCATGAAATGCAAAAACAGGAGGGCAGGGGTTGGGGGGCGGTGGGGGGAACACCAGGCAAACTCAATCTGAGGAACAGTGTACAGAAAAATTGACCAGCACTCATCAAAAATGTCAAGAGCATGAAGGTTAAGACAAGATTAGACCATCACAGATTGGTGGAGAATAAGAAATGACAATTAAATGCTATTTGACATCCTGAGCCAGGAAAAGAAACAAATAAGTTCTGTAGTTTGGTTAATAATAGTGTATCAACCTGACGTTCCTGGGTTTGATCATTATACTGTGGGTGGTAAGATGTTAACATTGGAGGAATGTGGATGAAGAGTATTTGGGAATTCGTGTCTATTTCCCCAACTTTTCTTCTAAGTCTTAAAATCATTTCACAGTACAAAGTAAAATAGATAAATGGACTCCAGTGCTTCTTTCACTCATAAATTTTATCTCAGCATTAAGTTTCTATTGAGTTTGTGTCTTTAGTGGTTAGCCCACCAGCTGACCCCACATTCAGGTGTGGTTTATTTGGGAGATGAACCTGAGAGGCATGAATAAGGCAGTGGGGATGTGAGAAATGGAAAAGTGGGAATTAAAATAACAGATAGAAATAATTGACTTACCTGAAAATAGTGAGTTTAGACTGCTTATCCAGTGTGTGTGTGTGCTAAATCCCTTCAGTCATGTTCAACTCTTTGCGATCTTATGGAATAGCCTGCCAGGCTCCTCTGTCCATGGGATTGGAATGGATTGCCAATGCCCTCCTCCAGGGGATCTTCCCAACCCAAGGATCGAGACTACGTCTTTTGCCTCTAGTACATTGCAGGCAGATTCTTTACTGCTGAGTCACCTGGGAATCCTATGCTTATCCAGTGGGACCAATGTAATCACAGGGTCCTCTAAATGTGGAACAGAAGAAGCAATGTTTGAGCTACACAAGGTGAGAAAGACTTTGTCATGGCTGGCTTTGCAGATGGAGGGACGGAGCCCCCAGCCAACAATTGCAGGCAGCCTCTAGAAACTGGAAAAGGTGAGAAAGCAGATTCTCCCCTGGAATATTCAGAAAGGAAGTCAGCCCGACTTGATTTCAAGCCCATGAGACCCATTTTCGACTTCTGACTTCCAGAAGTGTAAGATAACGTATTTGTGTTTTCTGAAGCTACTAAGTTTGTGATAATTTGTTACAGCACCAATTGGAAGCGAACGTGTACTTAGTCACTCAGTTGTGTCCGACTCTTTGGGACCCCATGGACTGTAGCCCGCCAGGCTCCTCTGTCCATGGGATTCTCCAGGCAAGAATACTGGAGTGGGTTGCCATGCCCTCCTTCAGGCGATCTTTCCAACCCAGGGATCAAACCCAGGTCTTCCGCATTGCAGGCCAATTCTTTACCATCTGAGCTACTGGGGAAGCCAAAACACACACCTAGAAATAGTGGGCTTTTCCAGATTCATATGACGAAAATCATAAAACTTCACTGAAGGACATTTTTAAAGTACCTGAATAGGGGAGGGCGGGTGGGGAAGGGATAGCCTGGGAGTTTGGGATTAGCAGATGCAAACTGTTATATATAGAACAGATAAACAACAAGATCCTACTGTATAGCACAGGGTACTATATTCAGTATCCTGTAATAAAACCATAATGGAAAAGAATATGAAAAATATATATGCATAAAATCACTTTGCTGCACACCAGAAACTAAGACAATATTGTAAATCAACTATACGTTAATAAAATAAATTTTTAAAAGCTAAAGTACCTGAATAACAATTGGTTCATAAATAAATGAACACATAGCTAGACAGACACATATAAACATATACATATTGTATATATGCATATTCCCAACCAAAATTACAAACTGATTCAAAATGCTATCTGGGGACTTCCCTGGTGGTCCAGTAGCTGGGAGTCTGCCTGCCAGTGTTGGAGACAGGGCTTCGATTTCTGCTCTGGGAAGATCCCACGTGCCAAAGGACAACTAAGCCCGTGTGCCACAACTTTTTAAGCCTGTGGGCCCTACAGCCCAAACTCTGCAACAAAAGAAGCCACTACAATGAGAAGCCCACGTATTGCAATGAAGAGTAGCAACCCCCCATCCCGTTCCCCGCTTACCACAGCTAGAGAAAGCCTGCATGCAGCAACGAAGATCCAGCACAGCCAAACAGAAATAATTTAACTATATTAAATAAAAACTGTATGTGGGGGACTTCCCTGGCAGTCCAGTGGTTAAGACTCCATGCTTCCAATGCAGGGGGAGGGAAATACAGGTTCCAAAAAAAAAAGAAATACAGGTTCCATCCCTGGCCAGGAAACTAAGATCTCACACGCAACATGGTACAGTCAAAAAACAAAACGGTATCTGGGAAATCAAATACACAAAAAAGAGAAAATCATATTGAAAAAAGACAATATCCTTGGGTACATCAAACAGATTATCAAACTACAGTAACTGAAACAGAGGCAAAGGAACAAAAATAAGTTCAGTGGGACACATAATGCAAGGTATGACTTTATTAAGGGTATACCATGGAGGGACAGAGGGGGGAGGTGAGCCTATCGACAGATGAAGAAAAATGATCTATAGTTTGTGCAGAGATTAATCTTAGAGGATCTCAAAGTCTTCTGAATAGTAACGGGATGGGCATTCACCAAAGGGGAAAACAGAAAGGGGTGGGGCCCAAGAAGAACCCTCAGAGTGCATGTTCCAGTAGCTGATCTCTGCTAATGGGGGGCGGGGGGTGGCGGGGCGGGACGGGATGGTGGAGGCAGCAACTCTCCGAGGTCTGGGCAGGGAGCCGAGGGCTTCTCACAGATCCAGGGGTTTTCTGTAACACACCTGCCATCATTCCAGCCATCGTTGTGCAGTTCCACACAGTCCTCATCTCCGTGGTTGTTGGGCTCCCCTTTTTTCCAGAAGCTGTGAACCGCATCAGCGCTGTGAGACCCCTACTCCACTCAGTGCCCGCCCCCAGTTTTGGAGGGGCTGGTCCCTGGACTTTGACAACAAATTGCCAAGTACCAGCCAGAGACAGGTGAGGAATTCAGAGGCAGGGTTTTTGAAATGTGGGTTCAAACACCACATCCACCAGAATCAGTTCTGGGAAAGTTAAATGTGGGCTTCCCTGGTGGTTCAGACGGTAAGGACTCTGCCTGTGATGTAGGAGACCCAGGTTTGATCCCTGGGGTTGGAAAGATTCCCTGGAGAAGAAAATGGGTACCCATTCCAGTATTCTTGCCTGGAGAATTCCATGGACAGAGGAGCCTGGTGGGCTAGAGTCCATGGGGTCACAAAGAGCCTGACACGACTGACAACACTAACACAAAATTAAATGCAGATTCCTGGGCTTGCGCCTAACTTACAGAATCAGGGTCCCACCCAGCTCCTACCCCCTACCCCCAGAGGAAGGCAGGACTCTGCATCTTCACCAAGCTTCCCAGGTGATGCTTTCCAGTCCAGAGTTTGAGCACCCTTGTTTTGGAGTTCCCGCCCACCTCTCCTGGGCCGTTGTCACTGGGAGGTTACCTGAGTTGGACAGGACTGTCATCCACCCACCGCCAGGACCCCTCATTGTGGTGGTCGCTGAGGCCGATCCAGGTGGGTTTATTATTTCTGGCATACCAAAAGTTCAGGAATTTCTGGGGGTGGGTGGGAAGAGGAGTATCAGGAGGAAGATCCCTGAACGCGACACATCCCATGTCTGCCCACATCTCCATGATCCCCCGCCTCCCATAGAAGTTCTTCTCACAGTCTAGCCTAGAGGCCCTACTCAAGTTGTATGTGTTCACATGTACATGGAGGCTGTGGATGTGTGTTAATGTAATACACATGTGGATATGTCTTAACTTATGTCTTAGTTAACACGCATTGTATATGGCCTCAAGAGCACTCTGAATTCCCTTCCTATCCATACATGGGCTCCTCTCATCCATGTTCTTCTCTCACGTGACCTTCCTGAGTCCATTATGATTCCTCCTCCAAGAAGCCTTCCCTGATTGTATCTCACCTCTCACGCCCCCGCCCCACCCCCAGCTGCCCATCTCTCAGAGGGGCAGAAGAGGGAGGCAAAATGTTCTTTGTTGACCTGGCAATATGGCCCAGCCTCTCGGGGGACCTTGCCCAGCCCACCTCCTCCTCAGTACTCTCGATGATAACTAGGTGGGCCCCAATAAGCAGACAGGCGGAGACGGCAGATCTCCAGTCACTCTGGGTCCAGGAGAAGAAGTAGCAGCTTCCGTCGAAGAACTCCCAATTCTGAGGACAAGGATGGCACAGGCCAGCTGGGGAGGAGGGGTGGAGTTGGGACAGAGAGGTTGCTTGGCTCTGAGGCTCCAGATCTTCGGAACCCAGGGCTGGGCCCTTCTGTTCAGCTGTCAGTGCAGTTTCTCAAGAAACCCATGAGGAACACCCCAGCTCTGCTCTGCCCTCCTCAGCCTGGCAGCTGCAGCAGGTGTGGCCCAGCCCCCACCCACCATCCTGTGACTTCCTCTTGACCTTGGTGTGGGTCCCTTACCCAGGGTGGCATTCATCCTGGTCAGGCGCTGTAGGATCTCCTCCAGGTTTGATTGCATCTGCTTCTGTGCAACTTCAGCTGCAGGGAAAAGATGTCAATTATTACACACCTACTGTGTGTGTGGTGCAGAGAGCCCCATGAGAACATCATGCGTGGATGTCAGGTGACCCGGAGAGCCCATCATACAGACGAGAAAACTGAGGCTTAGAGAGGGACTTGCCCGACATCGCCAGCTCACCAGGACCTCTTGCAGGGGTCCGGTCCCCTCCCCCACTCCTGCCTTCTCTCCTCCACCCCTGGGCAGTGGTGTCTTGTCCACAGCCATAGAGCCCCAGAGCCCCCTCCCTACTCAGACTCCGGAACCTGGTGTCCAGCCACTTATCCAGGCTGTTGTTTTCACGGTCTCCCGAATCTCTCTGCAGACACCGGATCCTGGAAACTACGACGGAGCAGAGAATTCCCCCTTTAAGCACTGACCCTGAGCCAAATCTACTTTCAAGGTCTCCCCACGGGGAGGATGAGCTACCTTTCACATGAGGAAACAGACTTAGGGAGAGTGACTGGCCCATGGTCACACAGAAGGTGACACAGAGCCCGAACGACCCAGCCCTAGTAGGTCTAGGGACCGTGAAAAAGGGCAAAGACCACCCCAGAGAGAAAACCCAAAGGGACCGAGGACCCCAAGCCCCTCGATGCTCACTCACCTTGAACCAGAGTGGTCAGCTGGAGCGTGAAGAAACCCAAGGAGACGAAAAGGAGCAACAGGAGAAGCAGAGGAGCCCAGGTCACACACTCTGCAGGGCCAGCAGATGGGTGGGGCTTGGGGCTGGGGGCAGAGTCTGCCCCCACTCCACCCCCTAACCGCCCCCTTTCCTCCCGGCTGCCTGCTCCTGAACCAGTCACCCCAGTACCTGGCAAGCTCCTCAAACTGTGCAGTAGTCTAGGGTGCCTCTCAGCCAGTCTCTGGCCCCCAAATGTCTCCTCCTCTGGAGAGAAGAGAGCACACGCCCGTGAACTTGGGAGTCTGCGGAGCCCTACTCTCAGAGCTGCAAGCTGGTTGCCAGGCCCCAGCACCAGCAGGACCCTGGGGCCCTGTCATCCCCACCATCACCCCAGACTGGGGGCCCAGCCTCACCAGAGTCATCTGCCTCCTTGGGTTCATACATCTCTGCCATCCTTCTCCCCTTTCTGTTCCTCTTTCCAGCTCTTCTCTGGACAATGGTTTTTATAACCTCACTTATTTCCCTCTGTAGCCCCTCCTCAGACCTGTTCTTTCTCAACTCACAAAGAATGAGGAACACGATAGGGATAACACTTCCTTCCAGAAAAATCTGGGAAGACATGAAGCGGCTGACACAACTAAAGGAAAGGTCACTTAGGGCGGGGCAGAGGCTGGGCCATCAGCTTTGCAGCCAGAAGGCATTAGTCCAACCCCTATCCAACTCTGGTACCTTCAGCCTCACGGTTCCAGAGCCTCAGTTTCCTCACCTGTGAAATGGCACAATTAGCCTGCCTAAAGGAAATTGACCCTGAATATTCCTTGGAAGGGCTGATGCTGAAGCTGAAGCTCCAATACTCTGGACACCTGATGCGAAGAACTGACTTACTGGGAAAGACCCTGAGGCTGGGAAAGACTGAGGGCAGGAAAACGGGGTGACAGAGGAGGAGACGGTTGGAGGGCATCTTTGACTCAGTGGGCATGAGTTTGAGCAAAGTCTGGGAGATAGTGAAGGACAGGGAAGCCTGGAGCGCTGCAGTTCATGGAGTCACAAAGAGTTGGACAGGACTTAGTGACTGGATGATAGCAATCCTGCTTCACACTATAATTATGAGGTTGAATCCAGTGCACTAGTAATGGATATAAACTGCCTATTCTAATGATGAACACTCAGTAATAACAGCACTTAAGCATGTGCCAACCATTCTCCTTGGTGTGTGTTCTCCCTCACTGCTACAAGTAATAAATCTAGATTTGTTAACCACACTGTGTTCCTGATGGTCTAACAGTTCTCACCATAGCCCTGTGAGAAAGGTAGTTACTGTCCTTCTTTACAGATGAGGAAATTGAGAAACAGAGAGGGCGAGGAACTGCCTGAGGTCACACAGCTCAAAAGCAGTGGGGCTGGGAGTTGACCCCTGAATCCGATTAACCACTACACAAAGCAGTCACTTCTTCCCCCTTTGTAACTACTAAATATAATATAGACAGTCACTTGGAAACTTTGTGTATCGAACTTCCAATTTACTTCTATATGGACCCTATCTGATTCAACTGAGTATATATAACTGTCTTTCCCCCTTAATCTAAAGTGGGTCTTTTTTAGACAGCATATAATGGGATCATCTGTTTGATTCTTTCTGTCAATCTTTACCTTTTAGTTGGAGAATTTAACCCTTTTATATTTAATATAATTACTGATAAGGTAGACTTTCCATCTGCCATTTTGCTATTTGTTTTTCATATGTCTTATTTCCTTTTTATTCCTCAGTTCCTTTATTACTACCTTTTTCATGTTAAATAATTTCTTCTTTTTTTAAAAAAAAAAAAGAAGAATTGATTTACAGTGTGACCTTACGTAAACTGGAAAGCCAAAGAATTTATGTGATTTGCTTCATTACAATATTTGCTTTATTGTGCTAGAACCAAAATTCACAATACCTCCAAGGTATGCCTTGTAATATAATATGGCAACTATGGATATCATATTCTACCTCCTCCTGAAGGTTTGTTGTCATTGCTATTTTCCATAGTAGTTGTTTTTTGTTTATTTAATGATTTTTCTGAACTAATTCTGCAAAGTCTCTATTCTCTGTCATGTACAATCACTTAAATCTCTACTTAGCTTTGTGCTTAGCTAGTGATTGAACAGCCTTCCTTGAAAATCTGAAACTAAAAGTCTTCACCCAGGATCTCTCTGTGTTTTGACACACAGTCAACACTCAGTCAGGAAGCTTGCAACCCGGCCTTAGCCGCCACTTCCCGCTTTCTTGGTGCCTCGAAGTCAGCCAGAATTAAGAGCTTAGGGACTTGTCAGATCTTTCCTGGGTATGCACACGGCCCTCCACATGCATGTGGGCTTCCAGATTCCCAGGAAAATGTTGGAACTTTTCAAAGCCTCTTATGTGCATGCTCAGTCGCTCAGTCATGTCCGACTTTTTGCAACCCCATGGACTGTAACCCACCAGGCTCCTCTGTCCATGGGATTTCCCAGACAAGGATACTAGAGTGAGTTGCCTTTCCTCCTCCAGGGGGTTGTCCTGACCCTGAGATTGAACCCTGTCTCCTGCATCTCCTGCATTGGCGGGTGAATTCTTTACCACTGAGCCACCTGGGAAGCCCTTTCAAAGCCCCTAGAGACATCTCTTTCCTTAACTTTTCCTTTTAAGACTTTTTGGTTATGTTATTATTTGCCCCAGGTGTTAGCCACTTCCTCAGGGAGCTGTGATGTTAAAATATTTGACAGACATCCCCTCGGGAGAGGTTTTTAGCATTGGGCAAGTTCGAGTGAGGTCAATGAAAGACAATCTGTTCAAGGGTGGTCTTCCAGGGAACCACTAGATAGACCGGGTAATACTGTTCCTTGGGAACGAGGCTTTATAAGAGCTCTGACTCCATTTTTCGTCCTGTGCCAGAAATGTGACCTGTTATTTTTTAAGGCTATCTTGTTTTTAAATTTTATTTTGTCAAAGTATAGTCAATTTACAATGTTGTGTTAATTTCTGCTGTACGGTGAAGTGGTTCAGTTATTCACATACATAGGTTCTTTTTCATATTCGCTACCATTATGATTTATCACAGGATATTGAATAAGGCTCCCTGTGCTCTACGTAGGAACTTACTATTTACTCATCCTATATATAATAGTTTGCATCTGCTAATCCCAAACTCCCAGTCCTCCCCACCTCCTTGGCAACCACAAATCTATCCTCTACGTCTGTGAGTCTGTAAAGCTATTTCTGGGTTGGAGAGTGGGGAATGGGACTAGGGTGAGTTAAAATTCCACCAAGCTCACTGTTCTTTATTGAGATTCAGCCGTATTGCTTGTCTAAATACTCCCTGAATTACTGTAAGCTTTTGGTTGATTGCCAGCATTCTAAAAGTGTTGATTCTGACAAATTCTGCAGTTTTTCCATTGCTTTCATGGAAGGGCAAAATTTTTACTCTGCCATTTTTGCTGACATTTCTTTCTTTCTTTCTTTCTTTTTCATTCTGTTTTTTGAGGCTTAAAGTGTCTTTGATTTGGTTAGTGGGAGCCTTTCACTCTGGCTCTGTGTCCACTTTACAGGTGCTTATCAGTTTTTTACTGATCAGACTTTCCTTGCCCAGACCCTGGAATCACCCATTTTCCAAGAGACCTGGTTGCTTTTAAGTGAAGAATGACATTTAGAAGCCAAGACCTGAGTGTTAAGTGCATCATTATTATTAGGGTGTCATTGATCTCAGGACCTCTGAGTAGACAGACAAGGAAACAGATACATACACATGTATTTCTCTATCAGTTAGTTCAGTCACTCAGTCGTGTCAAACTCTTTTCGACCCCATGGACTGCAGCACGCCAGGCCTCCCTGTCCATCACCAACTCCCAGAGACTGCTCAAACTCATGTCCATTGAGTCGGTGACGTCATCCAACCATCTCATCCTCTGTCAGCCCCTTCTTCTCCTGCCTTCAATCTTTCCCAGCATCAGGGTCTTTTTTAATGAGTCAGCTCTTCGCATCAGGTGGCCAAAGTATTGGAGTTTCAGCTTCCGCATCAGTCCTTCCAATGAACACCCAGGACTGATCTCCCTTACGATGGACTGGTTGGACCTCCTTGCAGTCCAAGGGACTCTCAAGAGCCTTTTCCAACACCACAGTTCAAAAGCATCAATTCTTTGGCTCTCAGCTTTCTTTATAGTCCACCTCTCACATCCATACATGACTGCTGGAAAAACCATAGCCTTGACTAGACAGACCTTTGTTGGCATATTTCTCTATATCTATCACAGAGTTGGAAACGACTGAGCTACTAAATGCACACACTTCTATGTTGAAAACCATGAGTTCACACCAACACTAAATACAGTAGAGTTCATTTCTAATTTACCCTCCATTTTTTTTTTTTTTTTTTTTTTCCTGGAGAATACTCATATATTTATTTTATTCCTCCATTTTTTTTTTAAATTTTTTTTGGTCACACAGTTTGCGGCATCTCAGTTTCCCAAGCGAGACTGAACTGGGGCCTTGACAGTGAAAGCCTGGAATCCTAACCGCTAAGCCACAAGGGAATTCCCACTCCATTCATCTTTGTAACACTCCTCTCTGATGGTGGGAAACCTGGTTCCCATTATACTGGATGTATTTATTTACTTATTTCATCAATCCCACCATATGTAGAGCCAACCTCATCTTCCCATCACCAACCCTTACACTGTGTAGATTCACTGGGCACTGAGTAGGCGGGCCCTCATGTTGTCCTTCTTACCTCACTTGGGCTCTGACATCCCACACCACTCATCTCTCTACTAGGACGGTCTCCTCCCCACGTCTGGACTCAACACTCTAGTGGCCGCCATTTTGAATGCTTCCTTCTGTCATCTAAGAACTGGCTGATTTACCTTGTCCCCAAAACACTTCTCCATCCATGTAAGCCTGTCCATACCCAGAGCTTGTGCCTGCTTGTCCCCTGGTATAGAAGCTGCAACTGCTCTTGGCTCACCTACTAGGAGTTCTTTTATTGTTAATTAAAAAAAAAAAGTCACACCATATGGCATGTGGGATCCCAGTTCCCTGGCCAGGGGTCGAACCTGTACTCCCTGCAATGAAAGCACAGTCTTAACCACTGGACCACCAGGGAGGTCCCTGAAGGGCTCATTTTTACTTCTGAAACCCAGCTCCTCGAGGCTTCCTTGCATTTACCACTCTGACTAGTTCTATTGGAAAGCATGGGGTCTTCTAGTTATCACCGTAGAAAGGAGGATCTTTGGGAAATTTCTGCATTCTCACC